TAGCTTGTCTCAGTTAAGCTATTTTATATCTAAGATCTACACAAAGGGTGCATCTACACATGCATTTACTCCACCTTAGATTTACCATGCAGTAAACTACTGAACAGTAAGGGTTTTTGGGTAGGTGTCTACACATGCGGGCATTGCTCCTAGTTCCCTGCAGTGCACCCCTGTGACCACCAGGGGGAGCTCCAGGCTCCTGGGTGCTAGCTGAGAGAGCTGGGCCAGGAGACAGCTGTCTCCTGGAACTGGGGGGCTGCCTGCTACAGGGGTGGGGACAGTGTCTCCCTGCCCTGGCAGCAGGGAGCTTCTGGCCCTGGCTCCCTGGCCAGTGGCACAGAGCTTGGAAAGAGCTGCAGGTGTGTGCCCCGATCCACTGGCGAGGCAGTATAACACGGGGCTGTCTTGTGGCCAATCCGGTCATTGGCCTGCCCACCTGTCTAGGGCAGTCTGTCCATTGCCTCGCTTGCCACACTTTTGTTGTAGCTTAATTAGTTGTTTGTAGGCGGAAGGCTACCCATTTACTGCACAATGACATGGATGTAATACATGGCTCTGCACCATCCCTACACTGTCCCATGCCTCCCAGATGGCATCACTATATGGCTCCAGCCCCACACTGACCTCACTCTATGCCTGCCTGATGTTCGGAACCTTCCTCTTCAGGCGGTCTACTCCCCACCCTCATTCTGTGCTGCAAAACTCCCTAAGTCCTTTTTCCTCTCAGCAGTGGCCCCCTCTGGGACCTTTGGCCACACAGGCCCTGGCATCACCTCTAAGCCAGTCGGAACTCCAGGGCCCTGGCTGGCATCCTCGTGGTGGGCACTCTGGCCCTTTGACCATTCTGGTCCTGGCCCCAGCATTGACTAGCTGAGATTCCTCTGGTTAGATTATTGAACCACTCACCTCGCTCTCCCATATGGGTCCTCCTTCTTGGGCCCCTCCAAACACAGCTCACTCGATCGCTAAGGTCAGCCTATATGCAGTCCTTCAGGCCCGCCCATGCAGACCCTAGTCTACATGGCCCACACACACATGCCCCCCACTGGTGCTACTAGGCCTTATGCCCCTTGCACCTCAGGCCTCTGATGACATGCCTGGACCCCTTGCCTATCCTCTCTATGGGGTAATCCACCAGCTCGTGAGGGCTGAGCCTATATGGCTCTTCATCCTCACCTTTCACTAGGGAGGCACTGATGTGGCATTTTCTGGGGACCACCCTGCCACAGGCAGCCCCACCACACCATCTAGGGTTACCAGTTTTCCAGGACCAAAAAAAGAGGACAGTTGGGGGCAGAGGAGGAGGGGAGGAAAGGGAAAGGGGTATATGATTGTAGGAGGGGAGGGGGAGGCAGTGACCTGCCTGTGCCCTGGCTTTTGCCCCTCATTCCTAAGCCCCTGCCCCCCCAGCCCTGCTAGTGTCCCATGCTCCCGACCCAGAGCCCCCTGACCTCCCGCACCCCACATACACACTCTGTGCATCTTACCTGGGAGCCCGCATGCAGAACACGTGACCTCAAACAGCTAATTACCTTGCCCGCTGCTCCCTGCCCCAAGCAGCCAAGCTTGCTAGTGCCCGGGAAAGCAGAGGCAAAGCAAAAACCTGGACTTTTGCTTGTATTTTAAAAACCCTCCCAGACACAAGGACAGGTGACCAAAAAAGAAGACATGTCCAGGAAAACCTGGACATATGGTAACCCTACACCCTCCAAGCCCAGCAGGATGTAGTTCTAGGTCATTCCCCAGGACCAGGAACCTCCTCCATCCCCATAGCTCCTGTCCTTGACCTCCAGGTGTTCTGGGAGCAGCAGTACTCCAGCCAGGCAAGGTTACTCCAGCAGCATCTCTACAGCAACTGCCCGCTCAGCTCTGAGGGTCTGTGGTTATACTGAGGCTGCTCAGCCCCATCCTCCAATCCAGGAGCCCTCCTGCGATTGTGTGACTGCCTCATCAGACTGCTGTGCACCTGCCCGCTGCTGCACAGCCTGTTCAAACCTCCTAA